CCTTCTTCTTTACAAATAGCACCGGCGCACCCCATGGAGAAGTACTTGGTCGGATAAAACCTTTATCGAACAATTATTTCAATTGCGACATTAACCCCTTTAATTCAGAAGGAGCTAATCTATATGGTGCACGTGCAACGGGTGCTGCTCCAGAAAGTAATTCAATTTGAAATTCTATTGTTCGATCTGGTGGTAGACTTATCAAATCTTCTGGAAATACTTTTGCAAATTCCCTCACGACTGGGATATCATCCATCTTTTCTTTCTCTTTCTTGATGTCTATAGCATATGCAAGAAAATTAACACATCCCTTCTGTACATACTTTCGAGTCTTTAAAACTGAGATAAGGCTAGAGTAACGATCTCGTCAATCCCCGTAAATCACAACCTTTCCTTTTTTTCAATAAGTCTATATGGATCATCTTTTCATCACAGACTATGTTAGCTTGGTTTTTAGCTAACCAATCCATGCCTATAATTATATCAAATTCCCTTAAAGGCAAAGGAAATAATTGTATAGGCACCTCACACCCTTCTATACTTATAAAACATCATCTATCATTTCCTTAACCGAAACTTCACTATCGTTTGTTGTTTCCACAATTAAATCCTCACTTAATGCTTTAGATTCTAAATGTGCGCAGTTAACAAATGATGGTGATATGAAAGAAAGATTTGATCCAGAGTCAAATAAAACCTTGACACACACTGAATTAACAAGGAATGTACCTGCCACCACTTCAGGATGTTCTTCTGCCTCGCCTCTCGTCATTTGAAAGGCTCTCCCTTTAGCATTTGACTCCCCACGTCTTATCTCTCCTCGACCACTTGGGTTAACACAATTATCCATTGGCCCACGCCCTGTTGGAACATAACCAGATCCTCGGCCTCCAAAATATCCAGATCCTCGGCCTCCCGTAAAACTAGACCCTCGACCCTTAGCTTGTAGACAATCAGCATTGACATGTTAAGAGGAATTACAAGTAAAACATCTTCGCGTCATTCGACAGTCTCGAGCTATATGTCCTGGTTCCTGACATTTAAAACATACTCACAACTCTGTATTGCAATTTCCATGATGTATTTTGTGACATCGTGTGCATGCCCTATCAGTAAACCTTGTGACTGGTCGACTCAAATTTTCCATAAACCTTGGTCTACGGAAATCAGTCATTGCAGCTTCCCCCTTTCTTTTCTCTCCAGTCCTTTTGTGGTTATCGATTTATATCTTGTTCCAGTATTTCAGCAGCGTCAACTGCTGCTTGAAATGTTGTCGGATTCTTGGATATCACATACTTCCGGAGATTAAACTCTAAACCCCAGATGTACTTTCTCACTTTACTGCTTTCTGATACAATGTAAGCTTCAACAAACCGGGACTGTTCCATGAAGACTTCTGTATACTGACGAACTGACATATTTTCTTGTTCAAGACGAAGGAAATCATCTTCTAGTTTCTGTACTGCCGCTTCAGGACAATATTGCATTTTAAACTTGATCACAAATTCCTCCCATAACATGGTTTTCAAAATGTTTGGATCTGAACTTGACAGAACTTCCCATCAGTACAAAGCACTTGACCTCAATCGGGATACAACAAACATAACTTTGTCTTCTTTTGCACTTTTACTAATCTGCAGACTTAGCTCAATTTCTTTAAGCCAACACATGGCTTTAACAGGGTCACGTTCACCAGAAAATTTAGGAGGTTTACAGGCAAGAAACATTTTTATATCCCCTCCTTTCTGAACTGAGGATGTAGTAAGGGGCACAGATGTACCAGTTGCCGGTGTACTAGCTCTGGCTTCTTCCTGATGTTCAGGATCTCTTACTACTTCTGGATTATTTTGTGTTGTACGTCCCAATAAGTTTACCAAACTTTCTTGGAATTTTCCCAACTCCGCTGCCAGCATTTCCTGAGTAATAAATCTGGGATCAGGAACATTGTGTCCACCCCTTGTTCTTCCTCTTCCATGACCAGACATTGAACTTTCTTGTGCTGACAATTCCTGTTGAGTTTCTTGTCTAGTACTTCTCCCTCTTCCTCGACCCCCGCTGCGACTTCGCGTTTCTATTGTCATTACATTTTTCGGGTCTTCTCCTTGGATTACATTTTTTCTTCCCCGACCTCTTCCATAACCGGTAGAGGTCCTTTCTGATTGATTAGGATTTTCTGCCATTTCTCAGTGTATATCTTTTTCTGTCATATTTAAACACATATGATTATTCACATAATCAAAACATAATAACACGTTTATCCTCAAGTCTATCCATAACTCAAGATTATATCAATCATATATAATCTAACTTTCTCATAATAGGTTCAACTATAACATATTCCCATGTTCATAGTCCCAGTGAAACTTATTATCATAACTTCCACACCTCTATTTTAAGTCTAAGTATTTCGCAAATACCCAGATCTCTTAAACTAAGGCTCTGATACCAACTATAACAACCCACAATTTCCATGTACAAATAATCCACATAATCACATTCATAAAACAAAATGTAATATCGTTTACAAAACATGGGTTAACAAAAACTTTTTTTAACACATTTATGTGTATCTAAATATCATCGTTTAAACTTTCCCCTTACCTTTATCTTGCAGTGTATGATGACCTGTAAAACAAGTTAGTCCAACAACTGAGCATTAGACCCAAAAGGTCTAGTGTGTATAAATCATATACAAATAACTTACATTCCAAACTAACAGTTTAGAATCAAACCTGTACAGACACAAGCATTTTATCTATATTTAATATAGATTCATCATTCTCTCGCGGTTACACCGCCATTACATCTCTCTCGCGGTTACACCGCCATTACATCTCTCTCGCGGTTACACTTTTCGAACCAAAACTAATAGTGAAATTCAAACAACTTTAACCGGTTTTGAAGTCCGGTCATCATTGTTCGGATACCAAATCCGGACAATCACTTAGAATTAATGAGGGTAATCCGGACAACTAATCTTGAGATATTTAGACATATCCGGACATCCCTTGGCCGGTTTAAGGGAAATCTGGTTGATACTCAAGCGGTTTAAAGAGAATCCGGTTGCCTCTTGGGCGGTTTAAGGATAAACCCGGACACCCCTTGTCCGATTTAGGGTTGAATCCGGACAATACTTGATCGGTTTAAATGAAATTTGGTCAACACTTATTCGGTTTAAAGTGGTAGTCCGTATGATATATGAAACATAATAAACCAGTTCCAAAAATAATTAAAATTGTTATACCACAATTGATACTCCAAAGCATAAACACTCACCTTTGAATGTTGAAAATGATCGGATTTCTGCCAGCGATTTAAATCTCCAAGTTTGCTCCCAAAACCTTTTCTTTCCTAATACAAGAGTGTGTAAAACTTTTTCTGGTAAACACCATTTACTATTTATAGTAAATAGGAGTCTTGTGGGGCGGTTACATACTGCCGAATCCCCCCAACCCCCCCCCCCCTTTTCTTCTTATTTTTTTTTAATAAAACATAATCCACACGTACACACCTACACACTCAAACTTATATACCAAGATTATCCAGAATAAATTTAAAACTCTTAAAATACTTAAACCAAATATTACAGAAGGGGTCGTGTATAGGAGTTTAATGTGAGTAGTTGGGGAGAGGGGTAGTTGGAAAAAATTAATGCAATTTAATGACTAAGTGTATAGAAGAAGGGTCATCAAACTGAGCGATTCAGCTATGAGTCGACCAAATAAGCCCATACCGAACAATTAGATATGGCTGTGCAAATAAGCCATATAGCTTATATAGCCCATTAAGCCACAACCGAACAACACTAAGGGGATGTTTACTTGCGACTTAATTAGGCTTATAGGTCTATCTGACTTATTCATACAACTCAATTGGGTTGTTTACTTACGACTTATTAGCACATAATGGCTTAATCGCACTGATAGAAATGGTGTGTTGTCCCCATTCAGCCACAAAAATGACACCCCTACCTCTTGTTTAAAGCACAACTTCCTTCCCAGATGAGACACCCTATCGTCGGCCTCCTTCCCAAATGAGACACCCCTCATCGTCGTCTCTTTCTTAGATGAGATACCCCATCGTCGCCTCCTTCCCAGATGAGACACCCCTCATCATCGCCTCCTTTTCAGATGAGACACCCCCACCGTCGCCCTCTTTCCCAGATGAGACACCTTTCACCGTCGCCTCCTTTCAAGCGATCAACAACCATTTTTTCGGTGACCAGTAACCTCCATTCCGGTAATTTGTAGATCGATTTATGTAAAGGTATCGATTTCTTTAAAGTAATCAATTTGTAGATCAATTCCTATCCTGTGACCTCTTTTCCATTAATCTTTTCTACATCGACTTCTTCTTCTATGGGGTGTATCATTGGGAACTACTGGATTTTGGGTGTATCATAAAATTTGGGTGTATCATAAATTTTATAGATCAATTTTGAAAAACTACTGGATTTTTGGTATGTGGGGTTATATCATTGGGATTAAAGAGTTGTTGTAGCTCGATTGTGGTGGATTATTTATTTTTGCTCAAAACACAAAAACCGTTTCAGAAATCGATTATTGTTTTATCGATTTCTTCTTCTTCCTTTGATCATTGTGCTCTTCCCAATTCTTTGCCAGGTCCAGGACAAGCCCCATATGTAATTAATTTATAGTATATTGGTAATTTTTGGAGGATATTTTTTTTATGATTTTTTGTTTTGATTTTCAAATAATTAATACTGAATGGTAAATAATTATTTATGTTATTCAAACTGTTAAAAAGTAAACAACAACAACACCCATTTATTCAGACAAATAAATTTATTCAAACAAACAAATTTATGTGTAAAATACTCATAAAAAATTTGGTAAGGGGCCGTGACTCATAGTATTGACAATAGAGTCACTTCTCTTTGAAATAATCTAATCTCAATCGTGGTTCCGTTTCCCTCCATTTCGGTCTGGAGTGGCTAGTGCCAAAGAAAAATACTTCTAATTTTCCACTAAAAAACCCCTTGTAAACTCAATCCATCTCTTCTTGGTGAATTCTAGAGAGATACTCTGAAGAAATTTAGGAGAGGGAGGGTGTTTGTTTATAAGTTTGATAACTGACATTGATTGTGATTATCTAGCATTGATTAGTGTAACGATGGAGGATCACGGAGTCATTGATATTGATGACCAGGATGAAGAAGAATTCGAATATGAAGAAGAAGAAGAGGAAGGGGAAGAAGAAGAGGAAGAAAGTGAAGACGACGATGATGCTTACCAGGAGGACGAGTTGATTCCGGCGGTGGTGGCGTCGCCTAGGGTTTCAAATCTGGTTTCAAGGTCTGGCAATTCGCAGGAAGCGGTGGTCTTCCATGAGGATTTGGTGGATAACCCCACTGATGTGAAGTCGTGCAAAACGAAATTGGCTAGCCAAGAGAACGGCGGGGATGGTGGCTATGGGGAGGAGGAGTTTGATGGAGGGGAGATTGAGGGTTTATTTTGTCCTATTTGCATGGATGCTTGGACCAGCGGTGGGACACATCAAATCTGGTACGATGAAGTTTACACACTATTCTGTATGATTTTGTAGGATCACGCAATTTCTTGTATAGTTTAATATTTTAATGCTTGTCACGTGAATATATTAGGCATTATAAGTTTGTGGCATGAATGGAAATTGAAATGTACAAGTATGGGTAAATATTTAGTTCTATATAAGAAATATGGCTGCACTCTGTCATTTACGCTTGTTTATAGTATGACTCACTTCCAGATATTTCACTGGGCAATGGAAGCTTTCTTATCAGTACCAAGTAAAAAGCACTTCGGAGTAACTAAATTTTATTGATCTTAAGGATAGAGAGTTCTTGGTGAGCAACAAATTCAAGGTGACCTTTGCTAATTTGGGAACTAATAAAGATATAGAACTTGAATCATATGTACCTAGAGACTGGGATTGAATCAGCTCCTGTTATACTTCAAGGCCCTGAGGTGCCAGTGTTGGATGCTAAATGTGTTCCAACACTAAATTTGTTTGCTGATGCGTGTGCAAGCAAGATAATGGGAAGTGGAACTAGTGATCACGTGGAGAAGCGTGTGATTTTCCAATTGATACTATAATGAGGATATGATGATCAGCTGTCAATTTTTGAATTGCATCAAGATGATATTATGCTAATTTCACGAAACATGAATTGAATTCAATCTAATTGTATACTAACTTCAATTCTTCCGAAACCATTTTGTATGATATTTGTGAATATTAAATGCAAAAGCAACGATTCTGGTTGTATACGAACCAAAATGTACTTATGCTAGTCACAAGAATTATGTCTTGTCTTGTTAGTTATTCATATCACGTCACCGAACACCAATGGAAGACCTTTCTATTCATGTGGTTATGAATGAAGTTTGGATCTGAAAACTCTACACCAGATCAAATAATAAGGAATCTATGATACAATTTGTAAAATCGTGTGATCATACAAGTCTTGCTATACGATGGTGATTTGCCATTACCTTGGCAGCTTACACAAGATTCGAATACGCTAATAAGATCCATAGGAAATATTTTGCTCAAAGGCAACCCAATGCCTACCATTGTCAATCGGTATGCTTGAAGCTTCTTACATGAGTTGACATTCTTTGTGTTTTTTTCGAACCCAATAACGCTACAAGTGGTCTCTATTGTGGAAAGATTATGTTCAAGCAAAGGCTTAGCAAGAAAAAAGTATAACTGTGAAAAAGCGAAGGCTTAGCAAGAAAACCAATTGTTTTATCTAAAAATATGATGTGTAAATAATAGGTAATATTTTATGCTTGGTCTTCTCGAAAACAACTACTCTGTGTCTAGGGATAGAGGTAAGGTCTGCGTGCATCTTGTCCCCTACAGATCTACCTTTGGGTGTGATATTATGGTTCATTTGGTTTGGTTTTTTATTTTATGCTTGGTGGTTGAGGTGCCTTGCTATTTGAAATTGAGGTGACCAAGTAAATTGCGTCTTTTGTTTGGTGTAGGTCGTCGAAGTTGTCCAAGCAATTTTTTTGCTTTGCAATTGGATGGAACTTTATGTTTATCTTTGTTTGGCAAATGATGTTGTCTGTGATGGGGCTTTCAATGGGTCATATTGATCCAATGGATTAATGTAAACCAAGAAACCACAAAAGTAATTTGCTCGGTTGACAAACAATCCAATAGATTGACCCATTTAGGTGGATGAATACTTGGATCAACCAATGTCTATGTGGGCGAGTATCATTTAACTTTGAAAAATAAAATTAAAAAACCTAGCACGAAAAAATAGGAAAAGGTAGTCTTTCACGTGTAAAAGTAAATGTGGCCAAATTAAATCCAAAAGCAAGTCTCTTTCTTTCTTAGATCTTGATTTAAACTTTTTTACTTGAATCATTTGATTTTAGGAATACACCTTTAGGCGAACATTTATTTACCGAATTCAAAACTTAAAAGATTTATTATTCAACTTGACAACTAGGAATTATGATCTTGTCCATTTTCAGTACTACGCCTAAAGACTTACACTTGCACATGTAGAAATGTATTTATATTTACATTGTACAATAATTTTTTATAAGAATGTCATAGGAAAGAAGATTGGAAGTCAATCAACTAAGTTTTATGAATTTAGTAGATTATGGTTTGAACTTTGAAGAAGTCGCATGATTTGGGACTTTAGGGGACCTACCTTATTTTATTTGATTGTCATACTAAACCGTCTCTCTCTCTTTCTCTTGCTTGTGGACAACCACGAAGGATACATGTTAGGATTTGCATAGACAGGTGCCAGTCCATATTGTCCTGTTTCTTGGTTCTTTTAGAAGGGTTGATTGAAAATCATACATGTTTTTATAAGGGATACATTTCTTGGTTCGATTTGACTTTATCTACTTAAGGTAAGATGTATATCATTTTTAAGGTATATTTTGTATGTTTTCGGGAAGACATACAAGGCGGCATGGTCTTTTGCTGGATTTCTCTTCTATGCGATCCATTTCTTAAGTAGATTTGTTATGATCATAGCCATACTTAGCCACACCATGAAATTATGATAGCGGGTGATTGATTTCAGGGTGTTGCGTGAGTCGAAGGTGACGAAGAACCAATTTGGCTTCATGTCGGGAAGGTCGAAGATTGAGGCAATCCACCTCCTCAGACGCCTTAGGGAGAGGTACAAAGAGCATACTAAGGATCTACATATGGTGGTCATATAATTGGAGAAGGCCTATGGTAGCATACCATGAGACGTGATTTGGAGGAGCCTAGAGGAGAGAGGCTCCATGGAGGTATATTAGGGTAATAGAAGATATGGACAGGCACACCGTGGCTTGTGGCAGGACTCCAGTGGGGAACACGAAGTAGTTATTGCTTCGACTCATATTCCCCAAAAAGTGGATCCCGCTCTAATAGCTCCGAATAAATTAAATACGTGCATTAAGATACAAAGGCTTCTTATTCCACAATTTCTGATGGAGATAGGGTTGCCACATGAGTGTTGTGCGGCAAGAAGGTTCTGCTAAAGCTGTGGGACAAATTTTACAAGGTAACCATCAAATCGCTATGTTGTATGGATTGGAATGTTGGCGACTAGGAAGGCCAATGAGAGTAATTGGTAATTTATAGAAATTAAAATGCTCAGATGAACATGTTGCCGAACCATATTGGATAAGATACCGAACAAAGTCTTCCAAGCAGAGTTGAGAATATCAATGTTTTGGAGATGTCGACACCAGTGCGGAGGGTAGAAAGATGACAGTCAAGGGGGTGAGGAGGGCAAAGCCGAGAGGGGACATGACAACCTTAAACATGAAATAAGTAGTTGTTGGACATGACGACCTTAAACATTTTCTAGAACATGACCTCCTATAGGAGTTCATGGAGACACAACATTGGCCAAACGGTATCCAGGTTATTGGTAGAGTCCAGCCTTCTAGGAGATCATGGGTTCAAATCTCATCAAAGGTGAGGAGTGTGTGAATATTTGCAGTATATAAATAAATATACTTTGAAAAGACTAAGCTAGCAGACCGTATGTAGGGACGTAGCTAACGTGGTTGAGAGGAGGAGGAGATTGGAAGGGTACAACTGTACAAGGTGAGTCGGGAGGAGGGCAGGAGAACTTTAAGATAGATAAAAGGACATTTTAGTTTGTCGTATTGTTTCTGTATGTTGTTGTTTTCTGTACTTGTGGAACCTTGTTTAATGTTTCCTAGGTTTTTTCTTCTATCAAAAGCGCTTTGTAGTCTACCTTTATCTCCAAGTTCCTCCATGCTTTTCTTTTTCTTCTACATATTTTACAAACTTTGTGAAACCCTTGCTTCCTCACCAAAATCTTTTTGAAAACACTTTTTTGCATGCTGGGGGTCTTCATGGAAACAACCGCTCTACTCTTTGGGGTAGAGGACACGTCTGCTCACATCTTACCCCCTGATTCTAATTTCGAATGGGATATACCAGGTGTGTGGTATGTGGTTTGGGTGATTTCAAGTCTTTCACTAACTCTTTCTTTTTGGGTAAGGACTGCAGCTGTCTTCCTTGTGGGCATATATATGGCTTGTCATGTATAAAGAAGTGGCTTCGACAACGTCGAAGCTCGGGGAAGGTTTGTCTTTTATCAGCTGTATACACTTTACCAGGCACACAAAGACATGGTTCTTTATCACTTTTCTCATCTCAGCTTAAGTTTTTGCTCTCTGAATTGTCACCAGTGTCCTCAATGCAATAGAATATGTACATTGAAGGATGTTAGAGTGCTCTATGCAGCAAGGCTTTGTGTTGCTGATGCAGAATTACAAAAGGTAATGTAGTGATGGTTACACTCTGGAAAAAATGGAAAAAAATATGATGATTATTATTGCATTCTTGATGAAGTACAACTTTTCTTCTTGCAGCAAGTGCGGTCACTCGAAGCTAAATGTGCTTCTCTTGAGCAGAAGGTGGTAACACTTACCAGAGGATATGTTGACTTTTTGTAGGGATAATGTCTTTCCTATTTAAATGGAATTTACATGAATCATATGTCTTTCTCCTTCCTGCTGTTTCCTATTTTTGTAGGGATAATTGACCTGAATAGCCTACTCATTGAAGTGGTTCACATTCATTTTTTATAACGTTCTATGTCATCATCTTAAGCTTACCTCAAGCTATGCTGTTAATATCGCGATATATCGGATATTGGACCTAGGCAAAATTTCGCTGCATAAATATCGGTCAAAATATCGTCCCCGATATTATCGGCGATATTTTCTGATTTTTTCCGATATTTAGCGATATTTTGATGTATATATCGGACCGATATATCGATTTTTTAGGGTTCAATTATTTGGGCTTTTGTTATTTCATGGGCTTAGTTTTTTGGGCTTTGTAACACATTTTAGGTCTAAAATTAATAGTCTGCCTTCCAACGGTCTTCTTCCTTTCTTTTCATCTTTACGACTTCACACTTCACAGACACCTAGTTCACTTCACGAATCACGACTTCAGACTTCTCATAACTTCAGACTTCTCACGGAGTCACGGTTTGGCTTCTTTTCTCGGTCTCTCTTCTCGGTCTCCTCTGCTTACCAAGTTGCTACAGCCACAGCAGCAACTGGCAGCAACTGTTGGCGTTGAAGATGAAGGGGAAGAAGAGGAAGATTGGGAAGCTAACCTAAACGAAGAAGTGAATGTATTGGATGATGTTGACTCGGATGCCGAACCTTTTGCTTTCGATTAGCTCGTTTTTTAACACTTTAGATGATGTGATGTTTTAATTTTAAAACTATATTTCTAAACTCTAATTAATGCATATTATATATATAATTCTAAGAAATATTATGTTAACCGCTATTTTAGACCGATATATCACCGATATAACCGATATATCGAATATCGGTCCTGACCGATATTTTGTATTCTGACCGATATAACAGCATAGACCTCAAGGTACAACTTGTTTTAAGTAAAAGAATTGCTGATAGGAGTTTTAGGCTATTCTTATCATTTGGCGATCTACCATTTTTGCTTATGAACCATTGGAAGAAAAGAGATAGGTACAGTTGTGAGGATGGTGAGTAGCGAAAAGTATTAGCATACTATTTACTATTTCATTGGCAAATTATCAAGGGCACTAGATACCTTACTGGGTCAAGAATAGGACATTATTAAGCTTCACCAGGTTTCTTTTTTCTTTTGTATATTTTGTAGTTCTACTTCAATTTGTGATTGAATTTTTCGTTGTCCTTTTTTATATATTTTTCAGTTTGGAATATCTATGCATGTATAATTTTAATGTCAATTGATATAATACTTCTATATAGATTTTACTATGTGTGTATGCATTGGTGTAATCAATCTAAAGCTAGCTTGGGACTGCTTGTGTGTGGCCATTAAAAAATACATCATTTTGCCTCTGTCTTATTGTTAGAAGACATGATCTTCATAGATATCTCTCCCTCAGTGACCTATTATCTTTTTTCTTAGATATTCAACCCATGCCAATTCTTCATTAGGTCATCATTCCCTTACTGACCAATTTTCAACCGGATATAGGTAAGATATCTGCTCACAATTAAGCAGCACTAATTAATTAAAGTTGTGGGGGAATGCTTAAGTCCTAGGTGGCTGCTCTAAGCAGGGTTATTTGGAATGCTGGTATTTTTTTGCTTTTGAATGAATGCATAGATTTTATTTTATTGCAATTTTAGTTGCTCGTTTTATCTATTATTGGAGGAGGGCCTCGCTGATAATAATGTCCTTCTTAGGACAGTTTTTGTTACTTTGTTATCATATTCTGAAGCAAATTATCATTTGCATGTTTATTCCCTCGCAGAATTCTGAGTGCTGCAAGAGAGAAGTTAAAGCCCAGGAAAGAGAAGCTGATTTGCATCTTAAAGTGCAGAAGCTAACGGAGGCATGTTTTTTTTTGTTGTTGATTACGTCTATACCTGCATTTTCACTTCAATAGAATATACGGGCGGTAGGCTAAAAATATTTTTGCTATGCATGTACTTGAATAGCTTGTTTGTTATTATATTTTGTTTTGCTATGTCTTGTGGCTTCCTATTGCTCAATATATACTTGCTCGATCACGAAATGCACTTTATTTAGATTAGATCCTTCCCTCCACAATTTCTCATGTGCTATGATTCTTTTTTATACTCATTCTTTCACATTACAATGATGATCCCATCTTAAGGTCCATTTATTAGCTTCATGAGCAATTTGATGTTTTATTCTTTCTCGTGTTTCCTCAAGTATTTTAGTAGCAAAGTTCATTTTGTTTCTGAATCTAATAAATTTTACATTCTTTTTTTATACCTTTTTGTTTGGAAGCTTATTTAAATCAGTCTTTAAAGATTGAACTTGGAGGTTCTTTGTTTGTAGAAGCTGGTCCTTAAGTTGCTTTTATAGATTTCTTATGCATGCTGTTAAAATGTATGCAGAAAACAAAATATTTGGAGAGGTTGCTAGAATACAGACAAAGAGAGTCATCGGCTTCATCCACCAGTAATCAGGGCTATCAAAGAAGAGTGATAAATGGTAACATTTCAATGAATTGCCATTTGATTTCTGTTGATTAAGAGGGTTTAGTGGCCGTTCATGACCTATAATCAAAAGCCATTTGTTTTTACGTGACTCATAGGACACAGCATAGACTCTGGGTCTGGAAGCCAAGCTTGTTCAGGGATATTTACGCTACAGGTTAGTAATTCATGTGTACTTTCAGTTTATTACGATTGATATAAATATAATAATACAAATGAATCTAAGGGGTCGTTTATCTAATGCTAACCGGGTCACTTACCGGTAGATAAGCATGGCAAGGACCGAGAATCTTACCCGGTAAGAGGCATGACAAGGACTCACAATATTACCCGGTAAGTGAAGGTGGTGACTCTTACCCGGTTAGTGTTTATTGGGTAAGATTATTGCGTACTATGCCGTTTTTATGGCTGAATATCTTACCTGGTCAGCTAAGTGAGAGTGGTGACTCTTCTTGGGTCATGCACATTAGCTGATGATTCAATTGCCCAACCATCATCATGAATGAGTAGTTTTAATTAAATAAAGTATGCTCTTAATTTATCTCAGAAGCTACTTTTATTTGCAGTGGACTTATTAGTTGCAATTTTAATTGGCTGAGGTTACATGACGAAAAATGCCTAAAGATCCAGCATAAATGAAAAGGTTCCTTGGCTTGATCAAGAATATATGTCAAACAAACCTAAAATAGAAGTTGACATGGTGTGGATTGAACAATATCTTCTCAAGGATTTAGATCAGCTGACACTCGGTTGATTTTATGAACTTCCTTTCATAAATAAAAAGTTAGTTCCAGGACATAGTTTTGCAACCTGTTCACTTGTTATACAATTTGCCATTCACAGGAATGCAAGGCACTTGGGCAAAGCATCTAATTGATAAATATTATTGATCTGAATTTAGTCCAGATAATATGAGCTGGTGAGTTGACTGTAAAATGGCATTGATGGGTATGTAGTTTTACAACACCCTCTATGCTCTACGAGTTAAGATGTTGGGCCCCAAGACAAGAATGTTCAGTGAAGTGCACAAGTAAAAGTGAAAATGTAGACATAGGTTGATTATTATGATTAGAAATGAGGGTGCCCAGTGACATGTCACCAATTGTATAAATAATGTGGGAATGTACAATTGTTTCTTGGAGTGACCACTTAATCTTCAAAGTATACCCTTGGATGTTCCGAAGGCTTCTATGATCAGGTGGGGCGTGGGGGGGGGGGTATGCACTGAAGTGACTAGGAGTTCTAGGAATATCACAACGAAGCACTAGGACCTTTGTGCATCACACCTCCTTTAGGTGTCAGGCTGAATAATTGATCGAAACATTCAGAACTCTTAATTGATCACTAAGCTGCCATTTAGTAGTCTTAGCTGGTGACCTGGGCTGTTTCCCGCTCAACGATGCAGCATAAGGACAAGTGAGCCAGTTGTTGAAAGCCAGCAAATTCAGTGAAGCCCAAAAGTTAATTGCAACTTGTTATGTATTAAACAGAGAGGAACAAGGTTGAATGATTAAGACAAAATTTTGGCTATTTGAGAGCCAGTCTTTCGGTCTCTCCTTGGAACAGTGGGAAGTTTTTTCTACATGCCTCTTCATCTCTTACTTCCCATTATTGATACTCAACCCTTAACAACTTATCGAAGAAAGTCCCAAAGTTAACCTTATTTAACAATTTACTAACTGCTCAAATATCCCCTTTTGCTGCTGGTCCTCTCCTAGTTAGATTTTCGTTTCTTTCTCCTATTATACTTGTACTGGATTGGTGGGTTTATGGCACAACTCCATCACCTTGTCATGAGCAATCACATTGGTAAATAATAATTAACAAAAAGGTAGACACCACTCTCTGGAGTGCCCACACCTAAAGATGCTCAAATGACCAACTTATTTTGGACCGGTAAGGACCGAGGACAGGTTACAAGAGAAAGCCCGTTTTGATTGTAAAATTTGAACCTGAGTCCAGTTCTTAATCGGTTAAAAAAAGGCTGGATAAAGCCCGGAAACTGGTCCTTGGTTAACTACCGAAAACCGGTCCGGTTAAGGCCTGGTCGAAGCCTGAAAAGCCCAAAAAGCCTGGTCAAGGCCTGAAAAAGCCTGGTTAAAGTTTGGAAAAAACCGGTCAAGGCTGGTTTCTTTTACCCCGATTATTTATGATGTCTAAATTCTAAAAGAATGTCAAACAATAATTTGTTGAATTGTTGTCATCAATAATGAAAATAATGCAAGTAAATTTATAAAATATTTTGTAAATATGTCTCTTTTTTTTTTTTCTTCGTGTGACTCGACTTTAAACCAAACATGCAACACAAATGGAGTTGATGGTTTGTCAGAAGAAATACTAGATGCTTTAGATCTAAACACCGTTCAATTTGATCACTTAAAAAAGGTTTAAAGCAATGAAAAATAGTCAAGAAAACAAAGACAAAAAAATTCAAATTAAATGTATGAAGAATATTCAAGAAGTAAAAAACGAAGACATTAATAAAGTTAATTAGTTTATAACGTCATAATTTAACTAATTCTTATGTCTTATGATAATTAGTTTAGAATTAAATGAAAATTCGAGGTATTTTTTAAAATAACCGTCCACTTCATTCTTTTATATATGTATTCATTATTTTTCTTTGAAAACCCAAAAGGACTGGTTAGGACCGGCGGTCCGGATATGGTCCTATATTTTTGCCAAGGACCAGTTAAGGCCCGACCAGGCCCTAGGCCAGGTCTTTTTTTCCCGCTAAAAAGGACCGGTCTTTTTAGAACCGATTAAGGTGTAACACCCTAGTTTCTTATTAAATAAATCTCAATATTTCAGCCTTAAATACACATATTTATACATAAACAAGTACTCCAGCAGCTGCTACATTTAGAAAGCAAGCTAGTGATGAGTTGTTAAAGCTAGAAGTGTGTTGGCAAGTCTAGTAAGCATGACTAAGCAAGCTAGTGATGAGTTGTTAA